CGAAAGGAACCTGCACAACACTTAGAAAAGATGAACTTTAAATTCATAACTTTACTAGACACTAAAAAAAAAATGAAGTGAATAAAGACACTGGATTCTTTGCTTATTACAACAATCTGTAACCCACTAAACCCCTTTTCCCAAACCTTTTCCTTCCTCTTTCTCCCCCTGTGACTGGAGAGACGTTAACAGGCTACTTCACCTTTTATGATCCCTTGAAATATGTGTTAACTTCTTATGCTAAACAATCTATTTCCACCTTGCCTTGAGCTGGGACACACAGAGGACCTTTCCAGGACCTGAAGATGAGCTCAGTGTAAGCTCCAAAGCTTGTCTTTCTCATTCAGAGAAATTGATGCAATAGGATATCACCTCACCCACCTTGTCTCTGACGTATCCTGGGACCCACACGGCTACAACAAAGCTGCATATATCAAAAAAAGATATCAAGTTGAACAATCGCCAAGCTGTACACCCATTGGGACAGTAGTGGTCACTGTTGCCAAACAGTTGAATTCCTGCTGGGTCGATCTCTCTAGGAGACAGGGAACAGGGTAGCAACAAATGCTCTGTCCAGCATTCAGGTTCCATGAGGTGCAGATGTGGGGCAAATGCCAGGCAGAGCAGTTACAGTCAGACACAGACAGGAATCCAGACACACACACACAGAGGCTGCTGCATCAAGCGTTTTATTGCACCCCAAGTGGCATGTGCCGGGTGGAAAGCAGAGGTTAATGAGGGCTTACTCAAGAGTATCAAGAAACCAATGTGAACTGAGTGAAGGTTTCATGCACAGGGCAGACTGATAGTCCAGATCAGGATCAGTAGGAATAGGAAAGGTCAGGTATGGGACCTGTCCCTTGCAGAGGGTAGCAGTTCTATTTGGACCTCAGGACGGGGGGACTTGATGGCTCATGGCGAGAGGGAAATGGGACATTGGGCCTTTTCCCTCTAGGGAGCGCTGGGTCCAATACCAGCCTTTCTATAGTTTTTTTCTTCTTTGCACCATCCTATAGGATTTAATAGAGAGAATCTGATGCCTGCTCTAGAATCCCATAGGAGAGTCCAAAAACTCCCGGAGACACACAGGGGTTTTAGCTCAACATCTACAAACTGCTTCCCCCACCCCCAATCCATTTTGAGACCAATCAATTCATAGCATTTTTCTAAGAGTAATGAAGATAATCTGCATTTCACACGCAAAGCCTAGTTAGTCCATGGCTGGTCTAGCCAGCCAAAGAGCCAGGAAAATGGGTGTCTACTCTAGTGCTGTTTCTGCAGAATGTTCTGGATCCAGGGGATGAAGGTGGAGAGTCTTGTGAACACACTTGGTTGGTAGAAATTCCCATCAACATATGAAGCGATGCCCTGGGCCACTCCGTCACATGCCAAGGGGCCACCAGAATCACCCTGGGATTGAGAACAACCACAATTATGTCTTGAACTTCTCTAGCATGACTTTTTATCAACAGATGTGATTGCATGAGAGTTGAGATCGTTAAATATTTGGAAAGAAATATGTTTTGTGTAAGAAAATGGCCTTTTTTCAACTTTGGCAACTTCACCAAAATGTTTTCTGTTTGGAAGTGTTTCCTTTTTTTTGTTTTGTTTATTTGGGTAGCACTTGGTGGGGTTAGGCAGAGTTTGGTAGAGTTGTGTTTGAATTGGATAGTGTTTGAATTGGGTGGATGTAGGTAGGGATGAGTTTGGGCAGAGTTTAGTAGGACAGGGGTATGTTGGGTAGAGCTGGATAGGACAGGGATTAATTTAGTAGAGATTTGGTAGAGTTGGTAAAGTTTAGGGAGAGTTGGAGTTGGGGAGAGTTTTACAGGACAGGGGTTAAGTTAGATAGAGTTGGATAGGGTTGT